ATTGAGGACCAGAAGCTCACCGCGGAGGAGGTGGAAATGGCCAGCCAGGAGGCCCAGGAAATTCGCACACGCGAGGCGGCAGTGGCGGCCGGCCTGGTGTTGGACGAGCCCGAGGCCCCCCCGTCGGCTTCGGCTACCGACGTGATGAACGACCTCTCCAGTGCACTGGAGCGTCTCCGGGTGGCCTTCTCCACACCGACTTCCGGCCTGGGTGCCCCTGGCCCCGCCGAGGAGGAGGACAAGGACATGGAAGATGCGGACGCCACGGAGCGGGCTACTCCACCAACGAAGAGGCTGAAGGGTTTCGTGGCGGCTTCCCAGAAGACCACGGCTCAGGTGAACAAGCCGGTCTCCCTTGTGCCGGTGGAGGGCCGTCCCGGCTACTTCAAGTTGGTGGACCTCCCAGACCTCTTCCCGGTCCTTCCGGCATCGGCGGCCACGTTGCTGCGGGACGTCACGGTGGAGGAGGCGGTCTCCCTGTTCCACAAGTTTGTCGGGAAGAATCTCACGGAGGACTTGGTGATTCGCATCCTGGAGGCCTATGTTCCGATGAAGATCCAGATCCGGCAGGAGGAGGTCTGGGCCTCACAGTTCCAGAGGACCAAGGCGTGCATTGGCACCCAGCGGATGCACAGACTCGATGCCGGCCACTCAGACTACAAATTCATGTGCAAGGCATGCGGCACGGGGTGGCCGGAGGCAGCCAAGCAATGCTGGGTCTGCCCGGGCAAGGAGTTCGTCCCCTTCCAGGCACCCTCGGCTACCTACGAGGCGGACGGCGTCAAGTACAACCTGCTCATTGTGGAGGGCAAGCCGACCTGGATCCAGCAGCGGGAAGGGGGAAGCCTGGGTGCCGCTGGCCCCGGTGGTACCCGGGCACAGGCAGACCGCAACCTGGTGGACGGCACGGTCCTGGGGAGAGCTCCTCCGAAAACGGACACGGCAGAGGAGATCACCATGGCAGACGTGGTCCCTAAACAGGCGGGTGGACATCCGGCAGGAGATCCTGTCCATGGAGGCGGACGATGAGGCGTTGAAGGTCTGGAGGTCAAGGTCAAAGTGCAGCGGTCCCTGAAGGAGGCGGAGGCTCAGAGCTTCCAGCTCTACCACCCCCAGGTGGACCAGGCGATCCGGAAGAAGGAGGAGCTGCATAAGGCCTTGAGGGAGCACCGGGAACCGACCCCGGCCAGGCGGCGGCACAAGGAGTTGGTCACGGACGAGATGCTGGACAATGAGATGGCTATCCTGGCGCCTCTTCAGGAGGGCATGCAGGCCCTGCCGTCAGAGGAGAGGAGGTGGAGCCCGGGCCCTCAGGAAGGTCAACCTGGAGCGATTCAAGGCCAAGCTGCGAGATCAGTACCTGGAGGGGAAGGGCGTTGACGCCAGCCAGGCACTGGCTGAGGCGATGGGCTCCATCCAGGAGGCTCAGGAGGCGAACAAGCGCACCCAGGACACCAACCAGGCATGGATGCTTAACCACACCCTCAAGCCCTTGGAAGTGTCGGCGTGGCCTCAGGCAGGCACTGGAGAGGGGGCTGTTCTGCCCCCTGGAGCTGGATGACCCCGAGGACATCCCCAACGTGGGTGACATCAAGGAGAAGTATGTCCCCTACATCAGGAGGCTCAGAGAGGCGCAGAACCCATGGAACCAAGAGGCGCTGCTGGAGGAGATGCCCGATCTGGCGACACCGGCCCCCTTGACCGCTGGCCCCGGGCAGGACCAGTCAATGCCACAGCAGGACCTGAACTCGGAGGAGGGCAAGCTGTCCCTGCTCCTCTGGGCGATGAAGAGGCACCAAGGCGAGCTACGGATGTTTGGGGGGATCTGGAAGAAGCACTCAAGCGGTGAGATCCCCAAGGGCGCGGACCAGCAATTCAAGCTCACTCCGGAGGAGCTTCTGGCCCTGGAACGCAGGACCCACCCACTCACGTGCGAGCAGGACCACATCGACCCTGTCATCTACACGGCCTTGGAGATCCGAGCGCAGGTGAACCGGGGCGAGCGCCCGGCGCCGGAGCAGGTGGTGGGGATCTTCTGGGCGAAGGGCGATGGAGTGTTTTGGACAAGGCAGACGAGAACGTGGGACCTGCCGAGCCTGACGGGGGTGTACGCCCACAGGTTCACCTTCAAGTACATCTACTCGGCCTGGACCACCTTCCCGCTGATCGTGAAGACGCAGCGCCGGGGCCGCAATGCGGAGGGCTCGGCCTCGGACAAGTGGATGGGCAACATCCTCCAGATGAGGAAGGAGGCGGTCCCCTTCCTGGAGAGCCTGGGAATCCCCAAGCCGCGCAGCAAGGCGGAATGGAGCTACATCTTCAAGGAGATGGGGACGTTTCTGGCGGCCAAGAATTTCATCGTTAACTGCCCGTTGCCGGTGATGGAGATCCCAGTGGCCCCCGTCCACGACAGCAAGGAGGCGCTGCGTTTCAGGGCGGTCTGCGACGAGCGAATCACCCTTCCGCTGTCATCGTTGAGGGCTTTCGACTCGGTGTACACCAAGCTGGTGTCGGGCCTGAGTAAGTCCTCCATGGTGGAGGTCAAGGTCAACTGGCGTTGCAACGTGGTCCATGATTCGCAGGAGGCGGCGGGGGCCCTGTACGACCGGTTGGGCTACTCCCAGGACCTTATCAGGCAGCTGGGTTGCTCCCCCCCCTTGGGTGCCTCTGGCCCCGGGGGAGGAGCGGCCAATTCTGGGGGGGGCGGACACCACGCCGGACCAGGGCACCAGGCGGTACCCTCCTATCACCACGTCCACGGTCACGGCGGTCGCGGGCCGGAAGTACATCAACCACTTCCCGAAGGAGACGAAGCACGTGTTTTGGGCCTCCGTGGAGTGCGGCCTGGTCCTGCCCAGCATCAGCGCCTGGGAAGTGGTGGGCAAGGAGAAGTTCAAGACCACCGGGGGCTACATGTGCAGGTTCTGCAAGGGCTTCTGGAGGGCGAGCCGCGGGGGGACCAGGCTGCTCCAGATCACGGGGTGGCACAAGGACAAGGCCACATGCCTGCAGCTGGTGATGGACGAGCCCCCGGAGCAGCTATATAATCAGTGGATCCGGGACAGGATGGAGTTCTACAAGCGGGTGGAGCCGACAGAGCCTCCCAGGGACGAGCGGTTAGTCCTTGGCGATGCGAGCACCCCGCGCATGCGCTTCAGCTCCTCGAATGGCCTGGGGGATGTCTCCACTGCCTTGTGGTCGGTCATCTTGAGCAACCCGGAGAAGTCAGGGCTGGCGGCCATCCACTCGGTGGCTAAGGAGGCGATCTTGAAGGGTGAGAGCAGCTTGGTCGTGTCTCACAGCCTTTTTGGATGGGGAGTCGTGAGATCTCTTCCCACCGGGACTTGGGTGCCTCTGGCCCCGTCTCGGGTGGGGGGAGGAGTAAGGGTGCCCCCTGCCAAGAGAATCCAAAGTTGCGCAAAGGACAACTGCAGCAACAAACGAGAGCAATGTCCTCGTGAAGTTGTCGTATGTATACGAACGCTCTCGTATGTATACGAACGCTCTCGTATGTATACAAACGCTCTCGTATGCGCACGAATGCTCTCGCTTCTAGCACACCCGGGGCACCCGGGCATGGTGTTGACATTACATATGCATTCAAATTGACAACAGTATTTTTTTGCTTTACAGCGAGGTGTAGTTGTCTTATCATTGCTATATAGTGTCTTGCGCCAACCACGAACGCAAGAGAGCGTTGGGCGGCTTCGTTTGCGCGCGCAGTCGAAGCGGTCGCAAACACAGGAGAGCGTTGGGTGGCTTCGTTTGCGCGCACGAAGCGGTTGCAAACGCAGGAGATCACCGGGTGGCTTTGTTTGGAGTGAGCGAAGCAGTCGGCAAGCTTGAAGTTACTTCCCCGCAAATGCGAGAAGGTTTGGCGCTGCCGCACGCGCTGTCCCAAACGCTGCGACTGCATGTATTCGTCGCACGGCAGCGTTCGTTTTCCAAGTGACGTGACAAAAGTATTTTACGCCCCGCACGCAGACATGCGCAGGCCAGGAAAACCTCACCGAAGCCGCTGGAAAGCAGTCGCGCGGGGCATCGGGAGCGACGCAAAGAAGTAAGGCGGGGCACAGAACGCAAGCGGAGTACTAGGAAGGCGCGGTGAAACCACAAACGCAAGCAAGCGAACGAGTAAGCGCCTCGAAAAGCGAGTTTTGGAAGAGCACATCCAGGCGCACCTACGTTTTGCGCGGGCCGGATGGGCTTATAGAGATCGGCCGCAAGCAGTTCCAGGCAGCCAGGCAGATGAGAAATGCCAGGGCCAGTCAGACACAAGTGATAGAAAGAGCCAATCAGATACAGAAGCACCAAAGCGGCAAAGCCATCTGACGAACCAGCTCCGCTACCACGCGTGTGAACCGAACCGCGGGGGGGAAGCGCCCCGACATAATATTGTGTGGCACTCGTAGGCCCTGAGTCCGTTTCACATCTTGGAGATAGATGCTCGAGCCGTTCACATTCGGATGGGACCAGCTTCTTTTTTGCTACCCTTCCTCAAATTATTGGGGGGTTGCTCCCTCATGTCATTTTAGCTGGGCTTGTTGCATTAGATGGTTGACCTAAAAAAAGGGAAGCAACGGCGATTGAAACGCGAAAGACCTTTGCTTGAGAAACAACCATCTGGCTCTGGAAAGCCCTGCGTTCTTCGAATGACAGGAAACATTAACAACCCTTGCCCTGGGCCCCATTGCAAAAAATGGTGCCCTCACTCCCTCTTTGTTAGGAACACACAGGACCCCTGCTCAGACAAGAATAGAAACACGCCACCTACCTAACATTTTGTTAAACAGTTGAATCCGGAATGAGCAGGCCCAATGGTTGTCCCTGCAGTGCAAAGCGGAGGCCACTTGTCAAGACCGAAGCGGTTTAAAGGAAACCAATTGTTGTTTGCGGTGCAAAACCCCCTGTCACAAGTCCCGCAAGAAACACTCCCAGTACAGGCTTCCTTGAATGTTGCAGCCCGAGCCGGATGATGCGCTGCTGCAGCCGCTGCCTTTTCACGGCGGAGGACTGACGTCCAAGGTGAGTTTCAGCTGGCAGGGTTTTCGGGAACGCTTTTGCGCCCGCCACGCCTTTGCTTCGCGGGAGTCACGAAAACGCAATGCCAGGTTGAGGATCAGCCTCTGAAACACTCGTGGAAGCACGGATCGAGCGTGGCAGCGAACTGCTAACCGTTTCAAGCACCCTAAGTAGCTCTCATCTTGAAAGCAACTCATGTGACGTGCGTTGAGCCGCGTGCGCTCAAGCTGAAATGCCATGTGTTCTATGTAGTGGTGCTTTGGGCGCAGCTTCCATCTTTTGGAGCGGGAGCTTTGCCTCAAGCCTTGCCAATGCTGCAAGCTTTGCATGATCAGCTCGCGAGCCATCGTAGCGTCTTCCTGCTCGAGAATGATGTCGGCGCAATCCATCACAGTGATGGCCTGCTGCAAAGACCAAATGCAACAAGCGCCACCTTGTAGAGTTGGAGCCTGCCCTGAGTCTGCAAAAGTAGTAAATTTAGTATGGCAGCGATTTACTCTAAAATTTACTATTTACTAATCTCATTTTACTAGGCCAAGTAAAGTAAATTTACTAGTAAATAAATTTAGTAGTAAATGTAAATTTCATTACTAGTAGAAAAAGCAGTATTTTTCACTATTTTTCCTGGTATATTTCGTGAGCTGCCTCGAACGCATTTTTCCTGAGTCCAAACATTTTTCTTAGCATTGAGTAGTGGGAACATGTTTCTGAACAATGTGTATTACTTGAGACATGGTCTTGCCTCCCTCGAGCTCCCCATGAATCGTTTGATTTACGTGCGCATGTCGCGGCTTCGAAGGCTGTGCGCTTACATCCTGTGATTGTAGTTTTCTTGGCTAGCACACAGCTTGTGGTATCATGAGCGGCTGGATATTTGCGGCCTGGGCGGTTGGGATAGACACCGACAGCCTGGGAGGACGTTGATCCTGGGCCAGTGTCAGCGCTTTTGCGGGATATTACGTTTGCGCTGCGAGTTGAGCCGATTTATCATTTTCACGTGATCGCAATGGAGTTCAGAAGCAATTCTGTCGTGGCAGTTTTGGTATTCGATGTGAATATGGAAAAGAGAAGCAGGTCTTTGCGTTTTTTCGCTGCAACGGGCGATGAGGCTGTGCAATGCGAGAAAAAAGAAACAAAGGCGCGGGGGTCATGTTTGCTTACTTGTGTGACAAGAAACGCTGATTGTTTTGCCGGTCTGCGTGGGCAATGGTTATGGGCCCAGTGTCTCAGCTTACTTGTGAGCTCACTTACTTTTGCAAGAAAGATATTGTGCAACGCGGGGACTTTTGTGAAGCGGATACTTGTGACGTTTGCGATGGATGTGGAGCTTTTACTTGTGAAGCAGCCGCCCATTTTTTGCTTGTGAAGCAACCGCCTTGCTGTTACTTGTGAAGCAACCGCCTCGCTTTTACTTGTGAAGCAGCCGCCCATTTTTTACTTGTGAAGCAGCCGCCTCTCTTTTACTTGTGAAGCAGCCGCCTCGCTTGCCAACCCCTTCGATCGTGACACCGGTGTTGCTTGCACAATGTTTGCCTGACGTTTTACTTGCGAGGGGTCTGGTGACTTGGCCATGACCACTATTAGACTATAGGGCCCCACAGAAAGCGAAAGTTACTTGTAAATGGACGTTTACTTGTGTGGATTGTGCGCTTTACTTGTGTGCGTTGTGCGAAGATTTCCACATCCGCGCCGGCCTTGTTTGCACAAAATGCATCTAGAGAGGGCGTGCAGCTAAGCCACAGACACAGGTAAACTATAGCGTCAAGAAACCCAATACCCGGTAAACCTATCAATCCCAGGCACAGGTAAACCATTGTCCAGGCATCCAACTCCATTTCAGCCAATCACAGGCAACCCAATCTCAAGTAAACCAAACTCACAAACTCCAAACCCAGTGCAACCAAGAAGAAGCATATACAAGGAATCTAACCAATTGCCTGAAATCTAATCCCAGACTGTGAGGATCCGCAAGTAAAGGAAGAGCAAGCAAACCAACCAGAAGAACTCTTATCTCAGGTAAACACGTGGCAGCTGCATCAACCTCAAGTACACCACAACCTCAACAAACCAGTTCCACCACATGACAAGCAACCCACAATCCGCCAACTGACCCACCCATTAGTACAGCACAACCTAAGCTGCCGATCAGGTCACGTGTCAACATGGCTTCCGATGACCGCTTCAGGCTCTACGTCCGGAACGTGCGGAACTCGTTGGGGAAGTGGACCATCCGGGCGGCGCTGGAGAGCATGGGCTGCTACAACCTGGTGACCATCCAGACGTGCAGGAGGCGCTGGAGCGACAGCCGCAGCGAGGGGGAGCACATGAGCATGTTTCTCTCCTTCGGGGATGCGCCTTGGCAGAAGTGTTTGTCGCTGACGGGGTTCGCGTTTGCAGATTGGTGTTCACCAGGCATGCGTTTTGAAGCACATTGAAACGTAGATGCCTTTTTTAAAGCAAGAACTCTCGTAATTCGAGGTGTTTTTACTTGCGATTACTTGCGACTTACGTGGTGATAGACTTTTTCTTGAGAAACTTGATGGACTTGGCATTGAAAATCGTTTGAATTCTTTGCAGGAGCAGAGCATGAACGATGGCATCTCCTGCATTAGCGCGAATCCGCATCAGGAGCAACTTAGCAGCAGTGGCCGGCCGTTGGAGCCGTCGATAGCGCTGCCGCCCCCGGCTCGTGGACGAGATGTGGCGCCTTTACCTGTGCCGCTGGCACCCTCTGCCTTACCTGCGCCCTTGCCACCGCCAGCACCACCGACTCACGGTGTCACTGGTGCTACGACCAAGTGGGCGCCGCCCAAGGTGTCGTGCCAGCAACAAGTGTGTTCTTATCATTGTTCAACCCAAACAACAGTTGCCACTGATGGGACAGGAAGGCTTTTTCTGGGCAATTGCGATCTGCTTACTCTGAGATAGTGCTTGTCTTTTTTTTTCGCGACCAACACTTGAGTGTGACAGATTCTCACTTTACCTGTGCTACTTCAGCAGCATTACTTGCGGCGAGCCTGACAACTGAGGCACCTCCTTGGGCTGGGCCGCAGCCGCCTCCTCCGCCCCCTCTGGGGCATTTGCTTGGCGCGGCTGATGGCGATGGCGAGGAGGACAGCTTGGAGGACGAAGAGATTGGCCGCGCTCTTCAAGATGCTCTTGGCGGGCATGATGGCTACGCGAGCCCTGTGAGCTCAAATGTGAGCGAGGAGACGGACTCTGAGATGGAGTCGGTGGTGGTGGATGAGGAGAAGGAACAGGAGGTTGATGAGGAGGAGTCGGTGGCGGTGGATGAGGAGAAGGGACAGGAGGTTGATGAGGAGAAGGATGAACAGCAGGTGGTGGATGAGGAGAAGGAACAGGAGGTTGATCCGGAAAAGGATGAACAGGTAGTGGATGAGGAGACGAAGCAGGAGGATCAGGAGAAGGAGAAGGTTGATGAGGAGAAGGAGGAGGGTGCGGGCAGCAGCGTGGTTGTCAAGGAGGAGTCACCAGCCAGTGCTCCAGCCCGTTCGCGTCGTTCGCGGTCACGCCGAAGGCGGCGCCGCTCGGGGACGCCTAGGAGCCGGAGCCGAAGAAGGCGGAGGCGACGAAGCTCATCCCGGGATAGTGGGATCACCTTTCTTCTGGGCGAGCTCGGCAGACAGATGCTCCGCGCCAGACGCTGACAAAAAGAGCGAGAGATGAGAGCATGAGAAGAGTCCACTTGAGAGCCGGTTACTTGTGATGAGAGCACGAGAGATGAGAGCATGAGAAGAGTCCGATTACTTGTGATGAGAGCACGAGAGATGAGAGCATGAGAAAAGTCCACTTGAGAGCCGATTACTTGTGATGAGTGTCTGCTGATTCCTTGAAATTCTCCTTCTCAAAGTACATGAAAAACTACGCCCACAAACGTCCACCAAAGGCGACTGGGAGGACGTTTCAACTTGAAGCCCAAAGGCTCTCACAAAAGTCACGCAACCACTCAACAGTTGAGCCATTTTTTTGTGACTAGTCGAGGCCACTTATACTTTGTTTGCACATTTCCAGATCCTGACCACTGAGCCCCTCCTTGTCACTTGGGGAATTGTGCTACAACGCGCCAGCATTTTTGGGCAGTTCCCTCATGCAGAATCGCAGTTCGTTTGGCAAACCACCTAAAATTAATGATGTGCGGGGTGCCCAATGGTGATGCAATGCTGGTACATTGTTGGTGCAATGTTGGTGCAATGTTGGTGCAATGTTGGTGCAATGTTGGTGCAGTTTTTATAACTGCACCAAAACTGCACCAACATTGCACCAAAATGGTGCAGTTTTGGTGCAGTTTCAAAAACTGCACCAACATTGCACCAACATTGCACCAACATTGCACCAACATTGCACCAGCATTGCACCACCATTGCATCACCATTGCACCACCATTGTCAACATGCCTGCCTCAAATATTTGGTCAGACAAGGCTCATCTCAGCCATGTGCTTCAGCAATTCCTGGAACTCACAGCAATGCCAGTATTAAGGTGCTAGGAGTCCGGCTAGCTGCAGCCTGTGCGAACGCATGAAAGGTTTGCCCAATTGCTGTTCGAAATCTATGTTGGCCTCCTAAGCTCACACTGCTTTCCAGTACCCAGCATTCTCAAACCAAGGTGTGTGCTACTTGTTTAAAAGCCACAGCCCATGTTTTTCAGCTTCTGCAGCCTGCAAACCTTGTTCTCAAGTAAATATTTCAGGAAAGTGCATGCCGGGCTTTCTCCGCATGTTCATCGCTTCCACGGTTTGAGCAGGTGAGTCACGCTCTGACCAAAACATACGGCTAACATTTGCACGGATCACAAGTAACATTTGCACAGGTCACAAGTAACATTGGCACAGGTCACAAGTAACATTTGCACAGGTCACAAGTAACATTTGCACAGGTCACAAGTAACATTTGCACAGGTCACAAGTAACCTTTGCACAGGTCACAAGTAACATTTACACAGGTCACAAGTAACATTGATCACAGGTCACAAGTAACATTTGCACAGGTCATAAGAAACAATTGCGCAGGTCACAGGTATAACATTTGCACAGGTCACAAGTAACATTTGCACAGGTCACAAGCAACATTGGCACAGGTCACAAGTAACATTTGCACAGGTCACAAGTAACATTTGCACAGGTCACAAGTAACATTTGCACAGGTCACAAGTAACCTTTGCACAGGTCACAAGTAACATTTGCACAGGTCACAAGTAACATTGATCACAGGTCACAAGTAACATTTGCACAGGTCATAAGAAACAATTGCACAGGTCAAAGGTATAACATTTGCACGGGTCACAAGTAACATTTGCACAGCTCACAGCAAAGCACCCCAGTCACAAGTAAACTACCGGCTGGTCCACCAGTCTCAAAGAAGCTTTATGTTCTGGCCCTGGGATGGTTACATTTGGAGACTGCGTGTTGGCACTGGGTAGTTCAATGAAAGAATTCTGTTGGGTGATGTGGCTCATCATGGTTTACTTGCGGCACTTAACATTTGATTTGCAACGCCCTTAAAGACAGATGTGTGGTTCATGCTCACTTCAATATGGAGTCCAGCATCATGGTCCCAGTAATTCTTGTGGATGCGTGTCGCAAGTAATATCTTTACATGTGAAACCAGTAGATCACAAGTAAAGGTTTCACAAGTGGACATGTGTGCAGCTACATTGTTGCTCAAGTTGGGGTTGCAACTCAAAGATTCATCGATCATGATAGGTGTCTTCCCAGGTAACGACTTCACACGTAAAACCTTCACACGTAAAACAAAGGAGCCGCTGCCGTATTTATCTCCTGCGCCTTCGTGCCAACTTCTCCAAAGATCCAATCAGCTCGTCCAGGTCACAGCTGCTGCTGCTTGTAGATCTGCGCCTCCTCCTCCTCCTAGGTGAGCGGCTCCTTGAACCTGACCTCCTCCTTGACTTGCTTGACTTGCTTGACTTGCTCGAAGTTGCGTGATTGCTCGTAGGTGAACACACATCCTGATAATCGTCGTACTCCGCGACCTTATCCTCTTCGGCCTCCTCCTTGGTCTCCGACTCCAAAAGGTGCTGCTGCAGATTCTCATCATCGTACTCCGACTCCACATCTTCAACGACCTGATAAGGATCATCTGTAGCCGCTACCCCAAAATGTGGGTCTCTGGGCGGGGGAGGCGGAGGCTGTGGAAACGTCCACGGCGGAGGTGGCGGGACAGGTGGTGGCCTGGGTGCCTCAGGTAAGTTGGTCAGGCGCATAAAAAAACGCAAGTAATCTTGTCTGATCTTCGCTTCGTCCCACGCGAGCACAGGTAAGTTAGTGGAATACGATTGAAACAACTGTTCAAACCCACAAAGGTCCACAAGTAAAAGTACTCGAAGTAAGGTGCCTCCTTTCAAAACCCAAGTAAGCTGTGGTTTCTCTGCAACGACAGTGACCTAAGCAATCCACATGACCTGCAGTCGTGGTGCCGGTGGCGCCGGCGGCGCATGCTTGCTTGTCGCAGCCCAGTACGCTGGCCTAGATGCTGATGCCGATGATGGCGGCCTAGCGATGCTGGGCTGCAGTGGGTTGCCGCTGCTGGACAGCACCGGGTGGTTGGGGTTGGCCATGATGCAGCTGATCGCGTCGTTCATCGCAGTCTCCTCAGTTGCAACCCCAAGGATTCCCGCACAAAGCAAATCACGTGACTAGTGTTGTATGCCTTTCCACTCCCACTCCACTCCACACACATCGTAATTGATGGGTAGAGCACAAGCTTAAAAAAAGGAACCGATGCAGAAAAACAAAACATCATACAATGTGTGAGCCATGGATCATCTGTGTATGATAAGAACACGCTCATATGTTCTCCTTCTGAACGATGGTCATCGTGCCTTCTGCGGCAAACCTGATTTTGCGTCAAACCATAAACTCCTATGGCATGAAGGGCATTCCGGATCTCCCATTTGTCCAGGCTGTTTCGGATGTTGCGCACGTACAGCCTGAACTGAAGTGAAACATCCATGGCAGGGCAGGGTTGGTGCGAATCGAGATGCCGTTTTTCATGTGTCTCATGTAATCGATACTGAAATGCGTTTTCTCAGCTGAAATGTTAATGGATGCCAAAGCAAAGCACCAAGCAAGCTGGCTTACCTGTGCCTGTGTGGCATTGCTTTGCATGCTACCCTGGCTACCCTACGCTCTTGTTTGGAAGTTGCCAACGTGTCTGAGCCTTACCCAAGTAATCTTGAGCTTGCCATGCGCCACATGCGTCCCACAAGTAAATTCAGTCGCTCACAAGTAAAGAGGGTTGCGCGCCAGCACACTTCAATCACATGTCTCCTACAGGACAGGCAACCAGAAGCGTACAAAAAACCAAAGATGAATATGCCGACAAGTCTTCGGATCGCAAGTAAGTGCACCAGCTCAAAAGTATATCTGTGATACGTGAAGTCGATCGTAAAAGGAGGAGATGTCATCTCAGGTCACATGAAAGTAAAATCTGTGACATGGGAACGGGAGCGCAAGTAAATCTGTGACGTGGGATTCGCATGTAAAAGCGCAAGAAGTCCTCAAGAGTCACAAGTACGGCAGCGCAAGCTGTGCTGTCAGTTGCAGGAGTACTACGAGACCTCTGGCAAGAAAATGCATTTGTCGCTTGCATTCCCTGTGGTTGGCAAGGTACATTCACCCAAACATCGTTTGGTGTTACAAGGGCGAGGCGACAATGCAGCGGCTCCAGAAGCTGCGGAATGAAAACGAAGCCCCAGTTTCACCGAGAGAACGGCTGGCGCCGGCGCTTCGAGGGAACACCGCGTGAGTTGCAAGGATTTCGTTGCTTGAGAATTGAACGGGCTGCTTCGCGAAACAAATGACAAATTACTTGCGGGGCAACCTCCGTGTGTGACAAATTACTTGCGGGGCAACCTCCGTATGACTTGTGCTTGCCGGTGCCTTATATGGGTTTTACACAGATTTTTTTTACTTGTGACATGTGCAGTGTAGGTTAGACTTGCAGATATTGGTGCTTGTGCTTGCAAAGCAGGAGGCCCGACTCAGGACCATCAAGCGTGCTCGTTCTTACTTGTGAAGTGGGAAGCTGAGCTTTTTTTGCCGTTGACATGCATGTTCCCATGCACTCCCTCCATTGATTTCTTCTTATTTTGGGTCGTTCTGGCTGTGTTTTTCTGACCCCGTGCAAATTTACTAATTTTGCAAAAATAGTAAATTTTACTAGTAAATTCTTCGATTTTAGTAAATTTACTATTTTAGTAAATTTACTACTTTTGCAGACTCAGGGTGCAGTTGGGCGCGAAGCAAACGGTCGGTCAAACCCAGCCAAGTTTTGAAGTTGCATGGATGCTGCCAACATGTTGAAGCGGGAAAGTACCTTGACCCTCAAACTTCAAAGGTGTGACAAGTCTGGCCAGTGACGCCAGTTTTGCTAGCAAACTCCACGGCTTTCTCCGTGAAGTACCACATCAGCACTTTGATGTGGGCTGCTTTCCAAACACCAGTGAGGGTTGGCTCAGGCTCCTGCAGCCCAGTGTTGGCCACGGTGAGAAGCAGCTTGCGCACAGATATCCTTTGTTGGTTTCAGAGGTCCGCTGGAAGCACCCTACAAAGTTGAACCACCTAACACAGCTTTCTAACGCGAAAATGATTAAGCCAATGGTCCTTTTCTCCTTGAAGGTTGCTAGCATTTCCACACTGAACTGCTTGAGCTTCTCTTCCAGGGTACCAGCAGGGGCAAGACAATCATGGTCAAGGAAATCAGCTAGGAGGCTGGAGACAAGATCACGGCCCACTCCAAGATAGACATTGTGCATAATGTCGTGGAGGCACGTGCCAAGGGTCCATCCTGGCACACGTGCCCATGGAGAGGGCGCAGGCTCTGTCGCAAGGTATGTCTCGTGAGAAACCTCAGTAAGATGTCGCGGCAGCCCGTACCGGAAATCCCGATACGTAAGCGCATGGTCGTACCGCTCTGTTGGACGCTGCGCCATGCACGACTCACAGATAAAGCGGCATTGGTACCACCTGGAAAAAGCATTTGCTTCTGCGCGGGCTTTGTTGTCGAATCGGCAAGCAAAGTAGCATGCCCTGCGCATCGGCAAACTTAATTAAGGCGCATGCAAAACAAAAAGGAAAGACTTATTTCAACTCAGCTAGCCTCCAGCCGTTGGCAAGCGGCTGGCCACACAACTGGCCACGGACAGACTTGGGGTCAAACTTCTCTCCGTCAAGCCCAGCCATAGGCCATGTGCCACACGTGGCCGCTTTCATGGACCACGCAATGAGCTCGGCGACACGCTTGTGGACTTCGTGCTTTACCTCACCCACGCAGGGCGCACGCACACGCACACACACTTAAACTCCAAATGGAGAGTGCTAATCTTTCGAGTACAACTGATGAGTCTCGAGTACAACTGATAAGTCTCGAGTATGATGAGGTTCGACTCCTGTAGTTACTTTAACAGGGACACACAGAAGCAACGGCAGTTCAGGGGGGGACCAAAAGGACATTCAGAACAACACAACCATCTCGGCAGGTACGTCTGACTGATCAGGTCAGATATCAGCGCAGGTCACGACCCTCTTCGTTGGGTCACCGGTCGTGACTGCGGGTGACCCCCCTGCTGAGAAACCGAAGGGTGGTGACAGGGCATTCTGTCACTCCGCACACACACACACCCACCCGCCCACACACACAAACACACAGCCACACACACACACACTTGAACTCCAGATGGAGGGTGCTAATCTTTCGAGTACAACTGATGAGTCCTGAGTACAACTGATGAGTCTCGAGTACGACTGATAAGTCTCGAGTACGATGAGTTTCGACTCGCAACGCACTCGGTTTCCCTCTTATAGTCTCGAAAACGTTACAAGGTTCAACATGAAGAACACACAGCGAGAGAAACAACGGGCCAAAAGGACTTTACAGCACCAACTCCAAATGTCGCAGGTACGTCGGATTGATCAGATCCGATATCCCATGACTGAGGTAGCTTCGTTGAGTGCGGTCCCTCAGTCATGCCGCACTCCCCTGCGTGATAAATTGTGGCGGCAGGGTATTCTGCCACTCCGCACACACACACAACACCTGCACACCCGCGCACCCGCACACCCGCACCCCCACACACACAACCCCCGCACCCCCACACACACACCCGCACACTCACACGCGCACGCACACACACACACACATGCGGACGCCATAAAGCCATTGCAGGCAAAGGGGTCAAACTGCGGAAGTTCGAAAGGCAAGAGGTAAAACGGAACGGCGTGCGCTTCTTTAAGCGCAAACCTCAAGCTTGTCTTGACCAAGACTCTTTTGGGTGCTGCATGTTGCTGTGCGGCACGATCACGCACGGGAATTTGATGTCAAACACCTCGAGCCAGCAGAGGCCCACTCACTGTGGGTCACAGCCCCCTTCCTCTCTCTTGTTGTTAGCCAACACACCCAATGGGCTCGAGGAAAACATTTCGAGGCAAGGGGCATCGCCGGCTGCAAGGGCGCAGCTGACAGACCACACCATGAACTCGGAGTTCCGGAAAAACTCCGCCCCGTCAATGTGGAAGCTGAATGGTAGGAGTCCTCAATTTACGGTGATCAGTTTACAGTAGCGCCACCTTTAGACGACGCGTTGTGTAGTTTGAAGGGAGGGAGCAGGGGTTGACGCTTCGACAAAAAATAGCCTTCCTATGTGCGGAGAGGGGTTCAAAGTCTCCAACTATCCTGCAATCGCTTGTTTGGTGGGAAGGGGCTGCAAAAGGGCTCCCAGAAATCTGTCTTGCAAGAGGGGAGCTTCCGCGATCGGAGCACTCCTCGAGCGCAGGATGGCTCTTCCACTCTGTCAGTGTGGAGCAGTGAGCCCAGAACTCAGCGATGGCAGACCGGCTTCTGCCGCCGAGGAAGGTCTTTGCAAACTGTCAGGGGGCTGCGTTTATCAGCAAAGGATCGCTCTATTGCCTTGTTTGCCGGTTGGGGGTCTTCTTGGAAAAATAGCCCGGGCGCATCTTATTGTTGGTTAGATGCATTGACCAAAAACACGAAACCTTAAACGCAAGGCGTGTTTTCCTGCATCGCCAGTGTTTTGCCGTGGGTGCCCAGCACGCGCCTGATCCGGGCCTGCCTTGACCACTGCGTGCAGAATTTCATGCGGAAGGAGCGTGGGGATTTCCAGCTCCACCAAGTTCATTGAATCATTTACCTTCGGAAACTTTTCCAGGGACAACTCTGTTTCGCACTTGGGTTGCCAATGGTATTTGACAAGGTGCTTGAACCTGAAACTTTACCATGTAGGTGTCGAGGCTCACATCGAACAAATTTTTTGTCCACCTATGTAGGTCCCTCTCTTCATTGGCCCAGTGCTTCCCACCAGAACCGAGAGTTGCAAATGCCTTCACAGCTGCCTTTGGCTCCCCGTCCAAGCAGGCCGACTGAGCTAGACTTGCAACTGTTCTCACAGTTGCCAACCCCGAGCCCACCAATCCTTAGACCGCAAAAATGCAGAAAAGTGATTCCAATGACTTTGTTTCGAACTGTTCGGATGAGGCTACGCAGCCCAAGAAGCTCACAAGGTGCTCCGCCTGGTAGCTTTTGTCGTAGCTCTCAAACTTGCCACGCCTGGCAAGCAGAAAGGAAACCACAGGCTGCGCGGGCTTTTTAGGCCTGGAAACTGCTTTCGAGTCTCGGCGCCCAGGCTGGGGCGCGTTCCGGTTTTGGCTATGGCCTCAGCGCCCAGGACAGGGGCTGGGCCAACGCGTTGTTTTGCCAAACACTAGAATAAACATCCACGGTTTTTTTCCAGCAATCGAACGCTGCGCTCAAATGTGTTTGGTCTGGTGGCATTGCTGACCGCTGCGGATTTGCTGCCTAGGATCCGAAAACAAGTCACTGAGTTCTTGCTGGTGTTCGAGATGGTTGTTTGAAGGGTTATGAGGGGCAGCCACCGCTTGTTTGCAATAGCCACAATCTCAAAAAGACACGCGCTCACTTCTCCTCTGTTTTCTTCTTGGCTCTGCCCTTAGCTTTTGCTTTGCTTTTCTTCATGAGCCCCGACAAGAGTCCGCGCGCAGCTGCCTCCACAGGCAGTCCCCCAGGCAAAACATTTTAGGGGAGCAATACAATTGTTGTTAAATGTTGCTGTGTTAGGGGAGCCATTTTTGCACGGGAACAAAAACAACACCCAAGAGAAACTTGAGAGACAAGCGGCTTCCTGGTTTGCCCAAGAAAATTCCAGCTGCTGACGCACTCTGACTGACTTTGACTGACTGACTGGCTGGCTGACTGACTCAATACTCAATACGACTTGACTGACTGACTGACTGACTGACTGACTGTCTGACAGGACTGACTGAGTGACTGACCGACTGATTTTGCTGACGGAGTGACGACTGACTGACTGACTGACTGACTGACTGACTGACTGACTGACTGACTGACTGACTGACTGAGTTTTTTGCTTGCTGCCTGACTCACTGACTGACTGACCAACTCACTCACTCAGTGCTGACTCACTCACTAATGAGTGACTGGCTGGCTGACTGACTGGCTGACTGACGGACTGAATTACTGACTGACTTGCTGACTGACTGACTGACTGATGACTGACTGACTGACTGACTCACTGACTGACTGACTGACTGACACTGAGACTGACTGACTGAGTGACTGACTCAGACTGACGGACTCACTCACTGACTGACTGACTGACTGGCTGACTGACTGACTGACTGACTGACTGACTGACTGACTGACTGACTGACTGACTGACTGACTGACTGACATTGTGTGACCGACCGTGACTTTGAAACGCCTTTTGCAGGGCACTAAGTGTGTTGGGATTTGTTTGCCGTGCCCCTACAAACCAAAAGACATCTCTTCAGCGCCCCATGAAACAACTGCGCGGAAGCTCCACTTGTCTTTCCGCCATGAAACACCCACCAAAACTCTGTCAACACCAAACTATGTCAAAACCAAAGCTGTTTGTTTTGGGTCGCCCACCACTCAGGTCGTCAGGAAGCACTGGGCTTTGCGGCCGCCCTTGAACTCTTTCACAGGTTTGCGAAGATGCCCCTCTGTTACACGCGGGCGGTTTGCCCTTCAAAACCATTTGACATGTTGAAAGAAAAAGTGGCACGCAGCGTTTGCACTTGCGCGGGTCGTTGGGCCCTGCGCCTGCGCTTTCTCAAACCACTCCGCTTTCTGCTTTGACTCGCGCAGAAGCTTCTGCATGGTGTGGTCGGTGTCTCCGCACCGGCAGGCCGTTTGCATGGCGCCATAAAGTTTTTCTGTGTTCTTAGAGAAGGTCAGCAGCTCCTCCACGAGCTGCCCTCCGTACTGGACCCCCCGCAAGGATAGGGACAACTTCCTTGATTCGGTGCTTTGGTTCAGCACATCGTTCATGGTGCCTTCCACTTGCCTCGGCGTGAAACAACAAACTCAAGGGATTTTTTGGGTGTGCTGGCAAAAACCAAACGAGGGGCCCAGTCGCAATGTGTTTTTTGTGTTCAAACGCCTCATTGCTGAACGTACGCCAGCAGAGCTGGAGGGCGGAAGAAAGGGCATGCGCCTATAGACAAACAAAACACCCCATGCCCGCACACCTTATTGGTCGAGTTGGCTGCCGCTGTCGAGTTGGCAAGTGGAGCGCCCTGTGCTATTTATTTGCGCCTAACCTTGAGACAGCGCTACGCCTGCCACGAAATCTGTACTTGAGCTTGCGAACGTGCCGCCTGCCACAAAATCTGTACTCGACCTTGCGAAACTTTCTGTCTTTCTTTAGTTCTTCTCTCGTTCTTTCTCGTTCTTTCTCTCTCTTTCTCACTCACTCACTCACTCACTCACTCACTCACTCACTCACTCACCCACCCACCCACCCACCCACCCACCTCCCTCCCTCCCTCCCTCCCTCCCTCCCTCCCTCCCTCCCTCCATTACGCAGATCTATCAATTTATCTATCTATTTGTTTGCGCCTGCCACGAGAGTCTGTACTCTGCGCTGTCGCTGCCACTAAATCTGCGCGCTTTCTCGCGAAAGTGCTGCGCCTGCCAGGAAATCTGCACAAAGCGATTCACGAACCGCGCGACTCATCCAAAGTGCTGCGCTTGTGACGAATTCTGACGCCCATGAGAACAAAATGATGCTCCTGTCACGAAATCTGCATGTCAGGTTGGCAAAGTGCTGCACCTGCCACGCAATTCAATCCTAGCGAAAACCTGAACTCTCCGAACCCGCTGCCGGCGGCGAGACAGTGGCGACCGTGTGCAAAACAGAGCTACCCTTCGAGTGTTTCGCATGCAGGCAACTCTACTTTCGTAGTTTGAACCTTTTCTATCTAAACTACTTCTGGCCAGCTCCAAGAAAAGACTTTTAAAGCAGCTGTTGCAAAGAAATCGCGTGGAATGTTTGAGCCAGGAAACTCTTTCAGGGTAGCAGGCGCAATTTCCTCGGCCGGCGCTTCCTTCCTGGCCCTCTTGGCCGGCTTGGGTTTCGCGGTTGCCCCAAACGTAGATTCCAGAGCGTTCTTCTCGCCTTCTGCTGTGGCGGTGCACAGGCTGGGAAGCGCGCCGGCTGCTAGCGGTCCTGCCGAGGATGTCACTGCCTCAAGCAAGGTGCGGTCAGGCTGCTGGATTGTCGCCTTGAGGGACATTTTTTCCCCTGTGCTGTCTTCTCTCCAAAACCTCCTGGCTTCGCCCACGTAATAGTAAACCTCCTTCAGGGTCGATGAAGGGAACGGGAGTTTTGAAACAACTTGTTTTGCCCTAAAAGGGAAAGCCCGTCACTCCTCAAAACTGAGTCGGATTGTATTTTGCGGGTGGCTACATCTACTAGAAGACCTTGGTGGAAGACAAGCCAAAAATGTTTGGGAACCCCCTCCTCTTCATCCTCCGGAAAATCCTCATCGTAACACCACATCCCTTTGCTTCGTAGCAAATTCATGAGCCGTTCTGCTTTTGCTTTTGGGTAGTCCTTGAGTATGTCACGGGCCTTTTTGCCAGCCCTGCCAGACCGCGCCGCGTTCTTCACCTCGACGTGTCTCTCCATGTGTAGGGCGACCCTTGGATGGGCGCGTGCTCAAAAACCACAGTTTGCGGCAGCGCAACAAAAGGAAAACATGGCTCAGGCAAGGCGCTCCTCGAGCGACTTGTTGTTCTGTAACCAAAGGTTGAACAAGTCGAGCTTATCCTTGCTGAGGTGGCCTGCTAGGCTTGCAGGGAACTTTCGGCGGTCTTGAACTTGGCGAGCAAACACATCCCACTCCCGCTTGTGGGACACACCTTGGCACGAAGGAGGCACGCAAGGGGCTTGACTACGAAAAGACAGGCCAGAGCGCCCCCAAACACCCCATGTTACTCCCGAAGAAGCGCTACAATTTCTTGTTGACCATGCCACGCTTCATTAATTTAAGAGGAAGCCAAAACACCGGCTTGCTGGCAAACAAGGTCAGGGCGCTGTTCGCTCTCACAGGCACGATGGCTGACAACTCAGCTGCCGCTGCGATCTCCCTGCCTTTCTCACCTTTGCTGCTGCTGCTCTGCTCGTCTGCTGGGACGATCTGGGTCTCCTTGTCACCCTTGTAGCTCGGCAAGGGCTTCAACTTCAAGGCAGGCGGTCGCTTTGGAGCTGTTTGCCCCGGCTGCTGCTCTTTCGCCTCAGCCTCCTCATCCTCATCGTCCTCCGACCTCTCCTCCTCAGACTCGCCCTCTTCGGAGCTCTCGTGAGCAGCCTCGGCCTCGCTCTCTGCGTCGGCTGCGTCCTCTACGTCAGGCTCGCCCTCTGCCTCCGCTTTCTCCTCCGCCTCTCCGTCACTCTCGCTTTGCTCAGCCTCCTCAGAGTGGCTGGGGCTGTCGTCGCAAGCGGTCATCTCTTGCAGCGCGTCCTCGCCCTCTTGCAGCTCATCCTCGCACTCCTCCAAGTCATCGCTGCCTTCCCCCCCACCCTTACTCGTCTCCAGCCACTGCAGGAGGTTGTCGATGTCATCTGGCGATGGCTCATCTTCCGGCAGCTGCGTCATGTCCCCGTCCTCCTCCTCAGTCTTCTGCTTCTTCGCCTCCTTCTCGTCCTGGTTCGGCGCCTCGTCGTCCTGCCCCGTGCCCGGCTCGCTGGCAGCAGCGTCGCCCTTCGCCTTCTCTTCGCCGCTCTTCTCCTTTTTCTCCTTCTTGTCCTTCTTGTCTTTCTTGTCTTTCTTGCTCCTTTTCTCCTTCTTGTTCGTCTTCCCAGTCCTCTTCTCGTCCACCTTCTCTGTCTGCTGCCCCTTCTTGTCCGCCTTCTCCGTAAGCTCCTTCTTGCCCACCTTTTGCTGCTTGTCGGCCTTCTCTACGCACTGTCTCTTGTCCACCTTCATCACCTGCTCCTCTTTGTCCACCTTCTCCGTCTCTGTCCCCGCATTCTTGTCCACCTTCTCTGTCTGCCTCTTGCCCACCTTCGCCGTCTGCCTCTTGTCCTTCGTCGACTGCTCCTCCTTGCCTGCCTTCTCCGTCTCCGCCCCCGCCTTCTTGTCCACCTTCTCTGTCTGCCTCTTTTCCACCTTCCCCGTCGTCGCCTTGCCCGCCTCCGCCGTCTGCGTCTTGTCTTTCGCCACCGGCTCCTTGTCAGCCTTTCCTGTCTGTTGCTTCACCTTGTCCTTCTTGTCCTTCTTGTCTTTCTTCACACCCATGTCCTTCTTCTTGGTTTTGTCTGCCTCATCGCTCGCCTCCACTGCCTTCTCGCCACTGCGCACTTCCACTGCCTCGCCGTCCTTCACGTTCTTGCCCTTAGGCGTGCCGTACACGAAGACGCGCTTAGCAGGCACCGTAGAAGCCGTTGTGGTTGTCGAAGTCGCAGAAGGCGCTGGGCTGGAGACCTTGCGCCCTTCCGCGCTTGCACGCTTTCTGCTTGCCTTATCTGCCTTCTCAGCCATGGTCAGAGCCAGCTGAGCCAAGCAGCCGGAGCAATTTGCCCTTGAGTACCAAAGCCAAAGTGGGGCCTGGTTCCCCCCACAACCTCAAAAAGAGGCCGACAAAACCTGGCTTAGGAATGCTCTTTTCCCTTCTTCCCTTGGACTGAAATAGAAGTGTAGCTTTATCACCTTGAATGTTTAAAAGTCAGAAGCGCTGGCAACGTTCAAAACGCGTTTCCGCCCAAAGAATCGGGAGTGAAATTTGCAGATTCCATCAAGTGACAGTTAGCGCCATGATATGTTCGAAGTTCAGAGAGCACGCCCTTTGGAGAGTTGGGAGCGCATGCGGAGATGTCAACCCCGCAAAACAAGCTTGCTATTTCCTTTGACGGGAGCCCAAAACCACGAAACTGCCAGTTGGGGTCAACCACCAAATCTCACATCCGTTCAGATTGAAATTTCGGAACCCTTTCTTCCAAACAGGCTGGGGTTCCAAGCTGCGACTGTTGGTTTTTGGAGGCTTGCCGCGATTTGGAGCACATTGCTAAGCTTCGTAGCCACTCCCAGCAGGCTATAAAGTGAGGTGTTGCGCGCTTTGTGCGCCGCCAGCTGCGGCAGACCAGCATGAGACACGCACCTACAAACCGCGGCAATTCGCTCCAAACCGCGGCAATTTCGCTTCAAACCGCGGCAAGGCAAATGACGAGAAAACACAAGTGAGGTTGCGCGCGTTGTGCGGTTTCAGCTTCGTAAGACCGCAATGAGAAACACGGGTCCTACAAACCGCGGCAATTCGCTCCAAACCGCGGCAATTTCGCTCCAAACCGCGGCAAGGCAAATGACCAAAAATAAAAAATGTGTGTGTGTGTCTTTCCCGCGCCAAGGCCAGAGCGGGCTTGGCCAATGTCCTTCATCACCAAGCGAGGCATACCTGCCACAGGACCGGGGTGTGGGAGGGTGGGGGCTGGTGGCAAGGCAGACAGATACGAAACCATAGCACTCCCTCTTTTTCGCACACGGCGCTGTCCAACACTTGAGAATCAGTGTTTGAAAGCATTGTGCGAGGTGCCACTTTTGCAAGTTCAAAGAACACTTTCTCCTCATTGGAGCCAAGCGTTAGTTGCATGAATTGCCACACGCTTAGCCATGCGGCACGGTCCATCAGATACTGCAACTCCAAGGAGCTGCGCGCAACGCTTGCGCATCCCTGAAGCTTCTCACCGCCTTTTTGGAAATCATTTGGCCCAACACTTGACGGAAAGATCAAAGAAAAGGGGTCACCAATTAATCTTGTTTTTGTTGATGTCTGGAAGTGTTTACACCATATCAAACCCATCTGTCAAATGTCTGACTTTGCATTCAGCGCCAAACACCAAACACAAAGCGCTGGGTCTAATTTCGCGTTCGTGCCATCTCACGAAGTCAGGTAATCCAAGACGGGTTGCAGGTCAGCGTGCGCCACCCAATAAGCCAGCTGTTTGGCAGCTGCGTGGGCAGACAACTGCTTCTTCTTTTGGCTGTCGCCGCTTAGGAACTTGAGGGCTCGCTTGCGAACGTGGTCCTGATGCTTGGTCCGCAGGCGCGCCAACGCACGCCCAAACCTCAGATTCGCGCAAACGCGAGAGGCCGAAAACGGGAAACGCTGCTTTAAAAATGCCCGAAGGCTTGCTTCTTTTTGATCCCGTTTGCCTGGGGCATCCCCAGCTGATTGGCTCAGCACCGACCGGCTTTCGCTCCGTTTTCCTGACTGGCAAAGGCGGGTTCCTCGTTGCCAAAAAACACCCAGTCGGTTCAACTCCTTGACAAGGGTGCCAAGTAAAAGCTGCGCACGCGTTGTAGGAGGGTGGCTTTGAGGGGCCCTAGCTTTTCTACCAGAAAAACACATGTTTGGAGGTTCCCCAAGTTCAAACATCTACCAGAGCACCCTGTTTGTAAGAAACCACTGTTGCGGCTTCTTGCAGTTGCAACAGCCCATACACTATGTTTCCTGACATGTGCCAGGTATACTCCAGCAGAGCTGGCGGAAGTTTCTGGAAAGGACATGTGCCCCTCATGCCCGCGCGCCTTTTGGTTTAGTTGGCTGCCGCCGTCGGCTTGGCAGGCGGAGTGTTGTTTGCTGTATGTTTCTTTCTTTCTTTCTTTCCTTCTTTCTTTCTTTCATTCATTCATTCATTCATTCATTCATTCATTCATTCGTTCATTCTCCCTCTATCTCTTTCCATTTATTCTACCTATCTGTCTACTTAACTGTCTATCTACCCATTTATTTGTCAATATACACATATATATATATATGTCTATCTATGTATCTAACAATCTATATCTGTATCTGTATCTATATCTATATCTGTGTACATATCCATATCCATATCCATCCATCCATCCATCTATCTATCTGCACCTGACCTTGCGAAAGTGCTGCGCCTGCCACAAATCTGCACCGTAGACCGGGACGCCTTCCCAAAGTGCTCACGAATCCCGACGCCCATGAGAACAACACCTGAGCCTCAGGTTGCCAAAGTGCTGCGCCTGCCACGCAATTCAATCCTAGCGAAATGAAAACCTTGCGCGGCCGTGTCATGGAAAACAGAGCTGCCTTACGCGTGTTCCGCATGTGGGCGACTTTTCGTACTTCGGAAGTTTTCTGACTAAATTTCCTTTGATGATAACACTCCGCATCTGATGTTTTCTGCCACCCATGTCTTTCTTAGTTGTAAGAAGACACTCAAGATGTCTCATGCCGCAAAGGCGCGCAAGGGGGTAAGTCTGACTAGACTTGAGAGCTCTACCCCCCTTGACCCGGTCACGACCAGCCCGGTCTTTGTAGCGACGCACCATCTCAGGAGCGCTGGCGTGCGCTGGAGCGGAAGAGCCAGTGACGGGCCTGAAGGCGTGGATCTCATCGATCTCTGCAAAGTCTAAGTTGCGCGCAAATGGTGGGGGGCTCAAGTGAAAAGTCCTGGAACGTGAAAGGTTGGTGATCGCTTTTTTTTTGAGGGGCTCACTTGTCAAAGTGAGATGGAAAGAGTTTCAAACAGCGCAGAGGGGCTGCTGTAAAGCCAAGTGGGCTTCTGCGAGGCCCCATTAAAGTCGCACATATTCAAGAACTTGCGCACCACTTTCTGTTTCTTCATCAGGATCTGCATGGCAGGATGGAATTGCATGAGGGATCCACGTGGTTGCTCCAGGCACCACCAAATCCCACGGCTCGAGGCCAATAGAATCAAAATGACACAGCGGTAAAGCATAGTGTTGCCAGCTACCGCGCTGGGAGAGTAAGGAGATCCTTCTGGCCGGGATCGGCTCCTGCCAGTGGATCCTCGACTCCTCAGACAAAGCCAAAAAACTGCGCAACGCAGCTGGCGCCCGGAGAAATCTTTTCTGAAGCAGCGCTAAAACGGGAAATGTTCTTTCCTGGCAAGGCGCAGGTACACCCAACTAGAACACACAGGTGCGAGGGTCAAGTGACCTCCTCGCTTTAAGTTCAGTATCTGGAAGCAGGCGTGGATGTAGCCCTTGGTGCCCAAAATGTTCATCATCTCGGGATCATATTCCACATCATAGGCCATAGCGGTCCGACCCTCCTTTTACAGGTTTCAATTTCAGTCCTCCTGTTAGACTAAACCACACACAAACAACACTGTGCAGAATTGCGTCCTTGCCAAGACATTACACTACTGCGCGCCCCGTTGCAAAGCGACGCACGCACACGCGCAAAGGCAAACAAACGAACACACATACACACACGCACATACACACACATGCCTACACACGTACATACCTACAGACCTACATACCTACACCTACATACATACACACACATACATACACACACACATACATACATACATACATACATACATAGATACATACATACATACATACATACATGCGTACACACATACACACACACATACATAGGCACACACACACGCAAATAAACATGCGTGTGCGTTTGTTCACACACACAGAGACAAACACGCAAGCACACACACGCATACATTCAAACTCATCCGTTTGTCTGTTCGTTCATTGAATATACAAAGGCAAGCACGGGCGCAAAACCAACGCAAACACGAGCAACAACTCAAACACAGACACAAACACCGACACACACACACACACAGACTTCCGCAAGCGCGACTTGTGTCTTCAGAGCCGACGTACTTCTAGCGCGCGCGGATGCGCATAGACAGACAGACAGAGAGACAAGCAGACAGACACGCGCACACACACACACACAGACACTTGCGCGCGCGCCCACACGCGCCCCAACGCGTGCGCATGCGCACTGTTACACACGCACGCACCGCGCGCACCGTGCTTGATTCCAAACTAAGTACGAGGGCTCCCGCAAAGAATCCAGGCGTGCGCTTTGCAGTAGGTCAGTCGCGCAACTCACGTTTGAGGGCGCCGTTTTGTTTACGCATCTACGCCTGCTGTTAGAAACAACGTCATCGCCCTTTGAAAGATCTGCGTCCACATACCTACAGTACATCATTATATTACACCACTGCGCTCTACTGCGTTTTTTGCGCCACGCTACACTACAGTACGTTACACTCACACATGTGCGCAGACACATGGACGCGCAAACAGGTTGATGCTGTCTGCCCCCAGTCCTCAATCTCTGCGCGGCTGACCGCTGCCTGTCCACTGAACAGCTCTACGTGGTCGCTCGGCCAGTTCCAGTTCAAGCCAGGAAGAGCGAAGATCAGCGCAGCCAGCACTGACAGGACCTCACAACCCTCTATTGTGACCAGCTGCCCTGCCCTGAAACAAAAACCCGGGCTTGGACCAAAGCCAAATTGGAACCCTTCATCTCCAAGATTGACACGCGAACAAATTGCAAAGGGCGCGTTATAGTGTGAAAAAGGAATAGTTGCAATCGTTCATTCGACAGGCCACCTGGTCACGTTGCGGCATTACCGTTCCGGGTGAAACTAAACTCCGCAAAGGGGAGCTAAACAAGTCATTTCAGTGTCCGCTCAGCGTTGCAAACAGGCCCTTATCAACTGGGTGGGTGGGGTGGCCTTAGTTCACAGAAAAGCCTGCGAAAGGCCGGTGGTTGTTGTAACCGCTGGACTTGCGGCTGACACATGGTGACACATTCTTCATGCCCCAAACTGGTGTTTGCTCAATCTTGGTCACTCTTTTTGGTTGACGCGGCCCATTTGTGTTTCGGTTGACCCTTCAAAACACCCAACATTGAACCTAAGCAGGCGCAACATGAATGAAGGTTTTTGTTCACCGCGACGTTCCCCCTACAAAACCCACTTTAAAAAAGGAAGCTCTCGCTTAGCTTTTGGACACTGGCCTGCGGGGCCCCCAGCAAAGATAGTCCGTGCATGGTCCACTTGCGCTGCTTGTCGCGCATCGAGCGGGCCGGCTGCGGACTCACGAGGCTGAGCGGGACTCTCTTCGCATCCCTGAGCGTCTGCTTTTTGATGGGCTTCTTGGCTTTTCTGGGGCCCATTGCCAGCAGGGGAGCGCGGCAAGGCGCCAGGCCGACTGGCGCTGCTTTTTGAGCGAATCAAGGGCGTCATAAACTTTCAGCACACATATCAGTGCCAGGTAGGTGGTGGTCCTTGGCTGGCCCTGACACTCTTTTGGGTTTGGTTGCGCAGAACCTGCGCATCCGGCCTCTGAGGCTGGCGAGCGCCAACCAACATGCAGATCAACCTGCGCAAGCCGGAGGACTGGTCAGCGTGGGCGTTGGCTTCAGTAAATTAAATCTACATTCTTTCGAGCCCGCCTCCCCAGTTGATCTGAATGAATTGCAGACGCCGCGAAAAAACGGCTGGTGGTCACGGGCGCTGCAGTGCTGCTCAGATGCGTGCTCACAACGCGCAGAGCTTTCCAGAGGTTGCAGCTAACAAGTGGAGGTACGTTTAAAGGGTTTTTAAATAAAGGCTGCGAACAAATGGCAAGCTCTGGAAAGCCGCATTCAGTGTGAAGCGAGTAGTATGGTTTTCCACGGACTTCCATTGCACCATCGTAGCCTGTTAGCCGAATTGCATTCTCGCAATGACGAACTGACCCCTCAAGCTGCAAGCTTTGGTGACCGCTGCAAACGTTAAGGTTCTTTGTTGGAAACAGAACTAGGCAATTACAATCAACCTTGGTGCAAAGCTTGCTTTCACCCAGCAGCATCCCAGTGAAGAGCAACTTCAGCAAATCTCTCGGTGAAATGAAGAAATGGTGTTAGTTCTGTTCTTTTTGCAACAGGTAGCACAGCTTGGTAGAAGTTGCTCAAAGCAATCACGGGCAGACAAATCCTGCCCGCGTGATTGCAACATCCCACGCTGCACAGGCTCCCCCGTGTTTTGAAAACGTGACCTGTCCAGTCGGTCCCTCGGACCCCTCAGCAACCCGCTTAACAAAATAAGCTTTGCTTCGGAGCAAAACTTCAACAGCAGCGCCTCCGGCGCTCAGTGTGTAACTATGCGCTCCATAGTATGAGTGATCGCGGAGGGGGTGGCTCTGAGGGGGAAGCATGGACACGTCATAGCTGGCATAGGTTTTCTTGTCGAAGTCAAACGTGTAGGCCTGCTTCTTCGCAGGCTTCAGGGCACCCTTCACCGGCTCCGGCCTTTTGAAGCTGGCTTTCTTGTCGTCGGTTTTTTTCGTTTTCTTGGCTGCTGCTGCCTGCTTGGGCGTCTCCTGTTTGCTCTGCTTCTGCTTGCTCTTCACGCGCTCCTGACAGAATTCTCACGCGGGGAACGTGCGGTGTCTGTGTGTGTGTGGGGGTGTGCGTTTGCGTGTGCGTCGTGCGCAAGCGCGTGCGTGCGTGGTATGTACGCGTGTGCGTGCTTGCGTGCGTGCGTGCGTGTGTGTGTGTGTGTAACGCACGTGCGTGCGTGCGTCTGTCTCTGTCTCTGTCTCTGTTTCTGCCTCTCTCTCTCTCTCTCTCTATCTCTCTTTCTATCTCTGTCTATCTCTCTCTATCTCGCTCTCGCTCTCGCTCTCTCGCCCTCTCTCTCTCTCTCTCTCTCTCTCTCTCTCTCTCTCTCTCTCTGTCTCTCTCTGTCTCTGTTTGTGTCTCTCTCTCTCTCTCTCTCTGTCTCTGTCTCTGTCTCTGTCTCTCCCTCTCTTATCGGTCTCTTTATGAAAAACCTGTACATAGTTGTGTATGTATGCGAGTATGTATGTACGTATGTATGTATGTGTGTGTGTGTGTGTATGTGTCCATGTGTATGTGTGTGTGTGTACAAGCAGGCTATCTGAATGTGTGTGTGTGTATGTGTGTATGTGTGTATGTATGTATGTATGTATGCATGTATCTATGTATGTCTGTGCATGTATGCATGTACGCGAGTCAATGAATGTGTGTCTGTGTGTCTTTGCATCTGTGTATGTGTGCAGCTAAGTATGATTACGTTGTAGGTGTGTATCTTTGTAAGTGCATATGCGTGTGTGTGTGTAAGTAAATGTTTGCAGGTGTGAACGTATGTGTGTAAGTGTGTGTGTGTAGGTAGGTGTATGTGTGTGTGTGTGAGCGTCTGTGTGTGTGTACGTAGAGGTGTGTGTGTGTGTGTGAGCGTCTGTGTGTGTGTGTACGTAGAGGTGTGTGTGTGTTTGTGTGTGTCTGTGTCTGTCTGTCTGTGTGTGTGTGTGTGTCTGTGTGTGTCTGTGTGTGTCTGTGTGTGTGTGTGTCTGTGTGTGTCTGTGTGTGTGTTCGTGTGTGTAAAATGTAGGTGCGTACGTGTGTGTGCGTATGTTTTTGCGTGTGCGTGCGTGCGTGCGTGCGTGCGTGCGTGCGTGCGTGCGTGCGTGCGTGCGTGCGTGCTGCGTGCGTGCGTGCGTGCGTGCGTGCGTGCGTGCGTGCGTGCGTGCGTGCGTGCGTGCGTGCGTGCGTGCGTGCGTGCGTGCGTGCGTGCGTGCGTGCGTGCGTGCGTCCGTCCGTGCGTGCGTGCGTGCGTGCGTGCGTGCGTGCGTGCGTGCGTGCGTGCGTGCGTGCGTGCGTGCGTGCGTGCGTGGGTGGGTGGGTGGGTGGGTGGGTGGGTGTGTGTGTGTGTGTGTGTCTGTGTGTCAGTGTGTGTCTGTGTGTGTCTGTGTGTGTCTGTGTGTGTCTGTGTGTGTCTGTGTGTGTCTGTGTGTGTCTGTGTGTGTGTGTTCGTGTGTGTAAAATGTAGGTGCGTACGTGTGTGTGCGTATGTTTTTGCGTGTGTGTGTGTGTGTGCGTGCGCTTGTCTGTGTGTACGAGTCAGTTCCTGCTTTTTACGCACGTGTGTAGATGCGCGTGTGAAGCTTCTCTTGTTCTTGTGTCGCAACGCATGCGTGCAAACACAGACAGGCGCGCGCGCTTTGAAGTAGCGAAGAGCCTTGAAGACGGGCTTGGGCGGCGTGGGCACCTCCGCAGCGCCGACAAAGGCAGGCGCCTTGCAGGCCGGAGTAAGCATCACAGCGTCGCCGCTAACCACGCCAGCGTTCTTCTGAGAAGGGCTAGCGCTGGACGCAGGCACGGTCGTAGTCGCATCATGAAAGGTCTGCTCTGCGTCGGCAGCTTCTGCAGCATCGCTCTCAGAGTCAGACATTGACACGTCTGGCTCAGAGCTCTGTGGCGAACGGTCCAGCTTTTCGCTGTAGGCTTTCCAAGCCATCTGCCCGTCAGGGCCAACTGGGCGGCAGCACATGCAATTGCTCCAGGACCGGGGCGCGCAAGGTGACTTTGTGACGGAGTCGTCAGTGTAGGTGCTGTCGGAGTCAGAGTTGGAGGACTGCTCGCCCATGTCCTGGTCGCTGTCTGCATGGTCAGCGTGCTTGTCGCCGCTGCGCGTTGGCTCGGTCTCCGGGAGTGGGATGAGCTGCGAGCCCTTGCGCTGGTGCGTGGCAAAGCGGCGCCAGAACGCTTGGTAGCGCTCCAGCTGTCCATCTCCAGCTGCCTGTGGGACCGGAGCAGTTTGGGAAGAGCATGGAGCGTCGCCTGGGTTTGGAGCACTGCCTGGTTTTTGCAGCTCTTGCAGCTGCCGCCTGCTCGCGCTGCCTGCTGCTGCTGGCTGCTGCTGCTAGTGCTGCTGCTGCTGCTCTCGGCCTCGCTCGCCTTGTCATTGCCCTCGCCGTCGATTTTGCTCTCGTCGTTGCCCTCGTCCTCGCTAGCGCTCTTGCTCTCGCCGCCGTCCTCGTCCTCGCCAGCGCTCTTGCCGTTGCCCTCGTCCTTGCTAGCGCTCTTGCTCTCGCCGCCGTCCTCGTCCTCGCCAGCGCTCTTGCCGTTGCCCTCGTCCTCGCTAGCGCTCTTGCTCTCGCCGTCGTCCTCGTCCTCGCCAGCGCTCTTGCCGTTGCCCTCGTCCTCGCCAGCGCCCTTGCTCTCGCCGTCGTCCTTGTCCTCGCCAGCGCTCTTGCCGTTGCCCTCGTCCTCGCCAGCGCTCTTGCCCTCGTCGTTGCCCTCGTCGTTGCCCTCGTCCGCATCCCCGCCCTCGTCTGCGACGCCCGACTCAGCCTACAAGGTCGATGCACTCTCGCACGTGGAGCACGCTTACGAAACTAAGCCCGCACACACAGAAAACCAACCAACAAACACACAAACACAGGGACAGACAGACAGCCCAAGAAAGAAGAAAGAAAAGAAGAGACAAATAGAAATAAAAAGAAAGGAGAAAAGAAGGAAGGAAGGAAGGAAGGAAGGAAGGAAGGAAGGAAGGAGGGAAGGAGGGAGGGAGGGAAGGAAGCAAGCAAGCAAGCAAGCAAGCAAGCAAGCAATAAATAAAGAACGAATGACAGGGAAAAACAAACACAACCAAGCAACCACAAAACACAAGCACTAAAAACATGCACACACACACACACACACAAAAACCCAAAGACAACCACATCACCCAGCCAACAGAAGCACCACTAACCGACAAGCGCACAAATGTGCGCGCCTATGGAAAGAACCAACTGCAAACTACACTTTGGGTAGTAATGTAGACTAAGCCAAGACAAACGAAACTGATCCCCAACAAATGAAAACTACTCAGCGAACTAAAACAAACAATCGAAACCAGTTCAAGCCAGACAAATTTTTTAAGACTGCAAGCAAGGGACAGATCGCGCGGGAGATTTGACAAGAATGGTTTTCAGCTCGGCCACCTTGGAATCCATACTTCCGTTGCCTGGGCTGCGCCAAGCTAATTAATGTAGCAGCGCGGGGTGCTTTTTAGGGCTTGACCAGCCAAGACTGTTGTAGACAAGAAACTGTTGCGAAAGAGATGTCTCAAACTTCCCATCAGCTTCTTAATTCGCTTGGCCTCTGCCAAGGCAAGAGTAGCTTTGGTGTCCTCAGATGTAGGAACAAGGAGGCCCTCTTCCAAGAACTTGTCTAGCAGCAACAAGGCGTCCGCGACAAAAAAGCCGGACGGCACCTGGCAGCCCCGCAAATGCTCTGCAACGCGTGATCTCTAAAACGGCCTTGGCCGGCGACAGGAGGCATACCTCCTTCAACCACAGGAAGTTCTTAGACACGTCCTACACAAAAAGGTGAGGAACACGTTGCAACACCTTGCTCAAGATCCAACCCAGCAAGCGGTCCTGAAAGCTCGGCCGGGCAATTTCATTGCCAAGACTAATGATTTTAGCCCCTGGCGCCAGCCGGTGGCCCCGCACAATCTGCAATGCCCGGTCAGGCATCGCATTCAGCCAGCTTGTTGCCAGCTCCTCCTTATCAGCAACGCACAGCACGTTTCAAAGGAACGGACTTGCGCCAGGGCTCGACCATGTTCAGCGTCCATGGAATGCGCCCCGGCCCTTAGCATCAAGGACATGACTGGTTGCAGGGACCCTCGGACAATTACTACAAGTTTGAACGCTGACAAGTAACGGGTTGAGCGCCAGGTCGAGCCCCCCAACTCCGGAATGCCATGCTTGTTCCCGGCAACAACAGCCATGGCTTGCTGCCGCACTAAGTTCGCGAAACCCCAGAGGCTGACTAAAAAGGCAAGCGGACACATACGTTGCCAATGAGCATCCTGCGCTTTCTTCGAGTTCTCGGGCCCACTGCAAGGCTTCCAAAGAATTTGGGTTGTGTGGGCCAAGGACCAAGGAAACCCTGGCTAAAAGGTAACAGGACCCGTCTGAAACGGTTACAACAAATCACAAGGTCTTGCGTCCCAGAAATCACAAATGAGCCATTGTGTTTCAAAAGGGCCAAGCGAAAACAAGCTACGAAAATGAGAATCGGAACCATCGAATCGGAACCATAGATGTCAGACAGGCGCCTAAGACTCCTCAAGCCAGAACCCCTCCCCCAAGAAACGAAAGCAAACGCGTGGTGGGTGTTCCTTTGCGTCTTGGCGCAGGACACCAGCTTCCGCGCCTTCTTTGCGGAAAATTGGCGTCGGGATGCTGGGAGCAGCCTCCCTCCAAACCCCGTATTTGCCAAGTGCGGGAATAAGTTCCAAACAGTTAAAAGGCAACAGCGGGGAGAACCGTCTGTGGGATCCTAAAAGAAAGATGTCAAAAGAAAGGCTTTGCGTGGGATCCAGTTTCATGATGTTTGTTCAAACTTGTAGTACCTGCAATCTGCGACGTTGCGCTTGTTCCCCCCCCCCCCGCACTGGGTTGTGTATTTGTTGCCGGTAACGGTGCTCTGTGTGGCCCTTGGATCCTACTGATGTACACCGAATGGATGTATTGACCAAGTCTCTGGTAAATAGATCTGTGAAAAATGTTGTGAGCGTGTCGCAAGTTGTTTCATCTCCAGCGCAATATCTGCGTAGATGAGGTGGGGGTGAGCGAGACTAAGTGGAGTTCAAAAACAAAGGGCCTTTTGTTCATCTACAGCAGAAAAATGTTTCATCACCCAGCCTGCCCGACCTGAACTGCAAAACTAGAAGCAAGAACAATGCGAGCGTGCTGTTTTGGCTCCTTTCGCTTTGAGCACGCCCCGTGTCCTTCCAAGAAAGGACAGCCCTTTGCAGACATTACGGGTCGGCTCTTCCAGCCACATGGGCCTGCAAACGGCAACTGAGCATTCGTGAAGTTGTCGTTAGGAGCGCAGTTGCCCAAAGGACAACTTTGGATTCTCTCGGTGGACTAAGGCGTCGGCGAGAACATATGTAAACATGTTTGAGGTCCTGGACAACGGAGAGGTGACTGACGGCACGCACGTCACCGCAGGGCAGCTGGCCCTGGCTCTCACCCCGTACGCTCAAGTAACGGACCTGGCGGTGAACACGGCAGCCGCCGGCAACAACGCGGCCGCCATCCAGTCCCTGGACGACAGAGTCACCGCAGAGCTGGCCTCCAAGCTGGACAGCAGCGCGCTGGCGCCGGCGATTGCGCCCCTGGCCACGGCGGCGGCCCTGGCCACCACGGACGGGCAGGTGGCCGCGCACGGAAGCAGCATCGCCGCGCTGCAGAGCTCGCTGACCACGGGCCTCTCCAACAAGGCAGACCAGTCGGCCTTCGACGTGCTGGAGGGCGTGGTTGCCACAAAGAGCACCCCGGACGGCGTGGACCTGAAGCTGTCCAACTACAGCACCACGGCGGCCGTGAACGGCTCCATCGCCTCGGCCAACAACGCCACGCTGGCCACGGTGGCCGCCAACTACGGCCTCAAGACGGTGGTGGACCAGCGCTCCATAGCGGCGAGGATCACGCCGCTGGAGGTGGACACCAAGGTGGCCACGGTGGACGGGTTGGGCACGCCGCTGGAGGTAGACACCAAAATAGCAAATGCGCTGCTGGGCCTCGCCACCGAGGCCTTCGTCGCAGCGCAGCTTGCTAGCCGGGACGCCGGCATCACGGCGCTCCAAGCCTCCAAGGCCGACACGGCGCTGCTGGCCTCGTACGCCACGAACGCCGCGCTCTCCGCCAGCGAGACCGCGATCCAGAGCGCCCTCGACGCAATCCTCGCGGAGCTCGCCGCCCTGCAGCTTTCCGGCAGCGGAGTTGTTAACGCGCCGGCCTGGGCGGGCTTCACAACTTGGGAGCTCCTTCGCGGAAGCAGCGTCGTTCGCAACCTGCACTTCGTGGCTCCTCTCTCTGCTGCGCTGCCCAACGGCGACGACACGCTGAGCATCACGGCAGACTGCTACTCCACGGCGGGCACTGACGCCGCCATAACAGCAGCCTTGCTGGCCTACTACACCTCCTCACAAGTGGACACTCTGTTGGGAGACTACCGCACAGGGGCCGCGCAGGACGCGGAGACGACCAGCGCCATCACGGGCGCACTGCTGGCCTACTACACCGCGGCGCAAGTGGACGCGTTGTTGGGAGACTACCGCACGGCGAGCGCGCAGGACACGCAGACGCAGGCCGCCATCACGGGCGCGCTGCTGGCCTACCGGACGGGCCCGGACCAGGACGTGTTCACAACTAACCAAATCACCTCGGCGCTGGTGGCGTACCGCTCAGCCGCAGACCAGGACACGGCGACGGCCTCAAGCGCAGCATCGCCAGCCACCCGCGCTGCCCAGCTCCAAACTCCACACCAGGCACAACGTGACGGTTTTTTGTTGGCCCAAACAAGCCTCGGAGTCCACGGAGGCATGCCTCGGGGGCCCGCTGCAGATAATCCAACACTGAAAAAAAGCAGTGCGCTTTCCGGACGACGGAGGGGCCGACGAGGTGGTGGCCGCCATAGGAGAGCAGATCCTGGCCCCCACGGACGTATCGCTGTCAAACTGGACGGTTCGCCCCAGCAGCGGCTGCAGCGTGGTCCTGGCCACGCACACCGCGGGAGTAAGCGTGGACGGCTACACCCTGACCCTGGCAGCGAACCCGTGGAACATTGTGCGCACCTACAACTTGACGCCCGGCAGAGAGCTCCTCTTCGCCTGCCGCTACCGGCTCGGCACGGCCTCCAACTTCGTGGTGTACATGTCCGAGGCAGACAACGTCTACGACCCCTTGTACGGCAGCTTCGTGGGCGACCAGGGTGCCTGGAGCACTGCCAAGATGTACTTCACAGTGCCTCCGAACGGGGTGGCGAAGCTGCACTTCGGGGCGCACTTCCAGGCGCCGGGCCTGCCCAACCAGACGGCCCGAACGGTGGACGTCTACGGCCTCCAGATCCTGGACGCAACCCTGGAGACCGGCAACGCGGTGGAGGCGGAGGAGGACACGGCGGCCTCGGCGCTCCTGCTGAAGCACGAGTTCCTCGACGGAGGGGCCGACGACGTCACGCTGGCCACCCTGGGCGAGGTGCTGCAGGAGCCCACGCTCACCACGCTAGGCAACTTCCTGGTGCGCTCCAACAGCCAGAGCTCCGTGGCCTCGGCCAGCTTCACGGTGGGAGGCTTCCAGCTGGAGGGCTACTCCATGACCCTGAGCGCCTTCGCCTGGAACATCGTGCGCACCTACACGCTGACGCCGGGGAGACGCTACTCCTTCGGCTGCCGGTACCGGCTGGGCACGGCCTCCAACTTGGTGATGTACGTCAGCGCGGCCGACAATGACTACGTGGGCGTCACCGGCACCTTCCTCGGCACGCCCTCGCAGGGCGTCTGGAGCACGGCGCGCCTGGACTTCTCGGCGGAATCGCGAAGCTGCACTTCGGAGCCTTCGGAGGCTCGATCCCCGGGCTGGTGCAGCAGTCGGCGGGCACGCTGGACCTGTACAGCATGCAGATCAGGGCCAGCGCCTTCGAGGGAGAGTCTGTCTCAGTAACGGACCTGCTGGCGGACTCGCTGTCCCTCACGGGCTCGGCCACGCTGGACGGGCTCACCGCGCAGGGCAACGTGGGCTGCGACCAGCTGCTGTGCAACGACGTGAACTGCACCGACGTTTTCACGACGGGCGTGGACGCCTCGGGCGCAGTCTCCTGCGCTGCGCTCACGGCCACCGGCACCGTCGCCGGGGCCGCGCTGTCGTCCACGGGGGGCGTGTCAGGCAGCTCGCTGAGCATCAGCGGCGCGGCCAGCGTGGGCCTGCTGAGCTCCGCCACGGGAATCACGGGCAGCACACTCACCATCAACAACACGGCCAACGCCGGAAACTTCACCACGGTGGGCGACGTGTCCACGGGCACGCTGACGGCCTCGGGCGCAGCGACGGCGGCGAGCTTCGCAGCCACCGGTGCGCTCACGGGCGCCACGCTGACCATCACCGGAGCGGCCTCCGCGGGCCCGCTGGACTGCGAGAGCCTGGACTGCACCTTCACGGCCACGAGCGGCGGAGTGTCGACGGGCAGCGTGGTGTGCGGCGACGTGACGAGCTCGGGCACGGTCTCCGCGCCGCAGCTCTTCGCGTCCAACACGCTCACCGTGGCCAACACCTCCGACTTCTCGGACGATCTCTTCCTGACGAAGAACTGGGCGGGCTGGAGCAAGCTGCAGATTTCCAACAACAGCGCGGCCTCCGACAGCGGCCCGGAGCTGCGGCTGCTGGGCAACCAGAGCGCCAGGGTCTTCCTGGAGCGGGACGGCGGGGCGCACCAGTGCGAGCTCATCATGATCAACGACGAGGCGCTGGTGCAGAACAAGAGCCTCTCCACGCAGCTGTCCCTGACCACGAACCAGAGGAACCCCGGCTGCCTGGTGATCGCAGGCAACACGGGCAACGTGGTCTGCAACACGAGCTTCACGGACTTGTCCGACAGCCGGGTGAAGACGGAGATTGCCAAGGCCGACGTGGCGGAGCTCAAGCAGCTCTTTGACTCCGTGGAGGCCAAGCAGTACAAGCGCCCGGACATGAACGGGGACCTGAGGCTGGGCTTCGCCTCGGACGACTTCGCAGGAACGAAGTGGAAGAATTTGACGGGGACGACGCGGTGGAGCGACGGCAC